TCTCCTAACAAACCATACATCAATGGAAAGCTTATTTATTCAGCTTTCGGATGATGTATAAATCTCAATTTTGAGAAATTGACCCTTATGACTGGTTTTGTGGTCCAGCGTCACAAATCTGTTTGTGTGTGAAAAAAATTCAGATGTAACCCCCTTTGTAATCGTTAACATTTTCATAAGTAACTGTACTTTCATTACACATTTTTTCTCAGTAACTGTAAGAGATTACAAGTGCATTTATTTTGTAATTAAATTACGTAATTCCGTTACATATAAATTTTTACTCCCCAACACTGGTAAAGTGGCATCATGTTGTCTTGTGCAGGTGAAGACGCCGACTGGACAAGAATCAAGTAGAACACGACTCTCTCCGACTCGCTCCATCCGCTCCTGGGTCACGCCTCCGGCCACACCTCCACCCTACACCCCTCTGATTCAGACCACACCCAGCGCTAGCAGCACTCCGGGATTGGTTCACAGGGGCTTCTGGAATTCCCAGCAGGCCTCTGATTGGTCGACACGTTCTCGCTCACCCTCGCTCCTGAAGGTTCCCCCTCGACTAAGCGGACATCACCTGCAGCAGCGGAGCAGCGCTCACAGCCTGGTGGAAGCCGTGAGTGATGCCGCTTGACCCTGAGCGCCTGTTTACACCTGGTCACTTCATGCGTTTTCTCTGATCGGATATCTATCGGATTTGTTAAAACGTTTCCATTTACACTTGGCCACATAAACGTGTCTTCGCAAAACGGATATAAATCAATTCCCATGCTATATGCAAATTTATAATGAACGGAGTTCACGTCAACGAAAGCAACAGATATGTGCTGCATTTTATTCATTATCAGCTAATTTCAAGATCAAAGACCGCAATAGGAGAGAGCGCGGCATCAGCACTGGAAAGATACTTTAGTCTCACTACTTTTAATGAAGATGATTGTGTGTTGAGCGTCTGCGACTTACTTTCAGTTTCATTCGCGGCAGTTTGCGCGTTGGTTTGCTGAAGAGATGCTCAGCTACTCATCCGCAGCGATGCGTGTTACATTAGCGCTGTCATATCTGACTATAACATGCCATATAACCTATAAAACGCTCTCGCACATTTATTATTTTAATATTTTGGGAGGAATAAAATTTGCATATGTGGTTTCAACAACCAGATGCATTTACACTTGTCCAGTTTCACCTGGAATGCGGCCCAGACCGCATAATAAATGCATATCGAAAGCGTTTCGGAGGGCATTTACACCTGGTCTTTTCATGATCGGATAGCTATCTGATCAGAGAAAATGCATGAAGTGACCAGGAGTAAACAGGCCCTGAGAGTCAAGTCAAGTCGCCTTTGTTTCTATAGCGAGTCATACAATACAGATTGTGTCAAAGAAGCTTCACTGAGATTAACAGGAGATTAGTAGAATCAATTCAGATTCAGCTGTAAAGCAGCTCAAAGACAATAGTGTCATTATTTAGCTCAAGTCAGTTCAGTGTTGGTTTACATCCATAAGAGTGTGAAGTTCATCAATTTAAAACTTAATTTAATCAATTAAAAAAAAATAAATAAAATAAAATATATATATATATATATATACTTAGTCTGACCAGAGGGGAGAAAATGTCTACCAGAAAATCACACTGGCCAAGCTCGTATAACCTAATAATGCTCACCAAATATTTCACATTCACATTCTAGGAAATGTGTCTAGGATGTTTTAAACTAATGAAGCCCATTACTAGCTGGGAAATAACACCATGCCAGTGTTGGGGGTAACTCATTACAAGTAATGCGAGTTACGTAATCAGATTACTTTTTTCAAGTAACTAGTAAAGT